ATATATATATATATATATATATATATATATATATATAGTACTGTGTTAATATATTGATCAATAGAGCTTATGAAACATTGGTTACTATTTCTTAATTTATTCAATATTTTTGGGAATAGGAAAAGAACATTGTGGAAATTTCAACTATGTTCAAAAGTAAAAAAACAACAACAAAGAACTAGAGATCATGTTCTTAGAACTTTAATGAAAGTTGTTAATACTACATTATGCTGTAGTGGTGTATATTTAAGTTCAATTTAAGTGTTGGAAAATTCAAACTGTTAGCTGTCAGTAAAAGTAGTAGTAGTAGCATGATTTACAAGTAATATCAGGTGAACAAATTCAGTGACTTGCTATATGCTTATTGTACTATGAGGAAGATTTTGCAATGTTTTTGGTATGATAAATGACTATATTTAAATCCCATTTGTTAACTTTGCTTGGAATCAAATAGGGTTGTGGAAGTTGAAAAAAGGCTCAAGATTACTTTACTTTGAGTTAAAAGGTGTTTTGGTATTTTTTGTAAGCATAAAATTTCTGAACATTCAAACTAGTTTTTTGTAATTCCAGCTTCAATCGAACTTGTAGATCATTTGCAAGTGAGAGTCAATATGTCTGACACAATTGAAACATTTTATAAAATGTAAGATTTAAGGTTTTAGGTACTGTTAAACTTGATTGAAAAAAAGAATAAAGAGGTTATGATATCCTGTTTAAAAAACAATATGAAAGAGAAGATTTTGAGTATTAATCATTTTGTAACAAAAAAATTGTAAATCAATTCATAAACTGTAATCAAACTATACCATTTTCTGTGTTTTAGGTATGAACAGTATATATATGATGCTGTAATTGGAGTTCAGTTCATATTTTGCTGTTGCAATCCAGCAGGACATGCCTACTCGAGTTATATACACAATATATTACATCATAGCATATCTTGAAAACACTATTCTCATGTTCATTTGGTATGCACACTCAGATCCTGAAGTATGGTATCGTATGCTTGCTGTATGTTTCCATTTCACCAGTTTTCCAGTTGGAATTATGTTTATGGTGAGATTGATAGTTAGATTAGTATTCTTACCTGAGTTCAATATTATGCATTGTTACATATAAGTAGTTTAGAATATAATTAAAAAAAATGTTGAGTTTGATGAGAAAAAATTTAATATCAGGAATTTATTTCTTGTGAATGATAATATTTACACTTTTTTTTCTAAAAAGAAACCAAGTATTCCAAAATTTAAAAAAAGAAAATGAAAATTCATAAACTAGTATTGCTTGTATTTTCAAATGAATTATTGTACATACAATATCTTATCACAGGTAGTATTTGATGATATAAATGTTATTTGTAACTAAGACCAAAGCATTTACTTTTAGAAAACTCATGTTAGGCCCATATTTCGATATTAATTTTCTTCAGCACTATGTATAAAGGAAACTTTCGTAGTAAGTATGTTGACTGTTGATTGCTTTTATACTCTTTATAATATGTCACCATTCCTCTGTTACTGTGAGAATATTGTATGTGTTCCATGTCTTCTGATATTAAAAACAAATCTTCTAAATAGAGATACATTTATTACAGTCTGTTCAACATAGAGAAGGGTTAATTTTCTACAAATCCATAGTTTTTGCTGTTTTTCATCATAGGGGTAATTTTGAGATCTGTGCACATCTGATGAGAATTTTTATGTCAATTTAAGGGTAGGGTGTGTGGAACTTATAATGTGACTTTGTAGAAATTAGTTAATTCTAGAATGAGTCAAATATTGCAGGTAAAATTATCCAATGTGTATGATTTCACTAAGCATTTCCTTCTTGATGTGCACACTCACCATTACTTTGGGCAAAGCAGTGGTTATGACCATGTGTTGTTTTTAAAGTTTTTATCAAGCTGATAATTAATGATAGGTTCGATTTAAATATGATAGATTCTTTAAAAGACAAAAAATATGTCTATGAAATAAGCAAAATTTGTAAAAATAGATTTTCATTTATGTAGTAAGAACAAATTGTGATGTCACTGATTACAGGTATACTAATTTTATAAGGATTGTGAATGGATTAACAAAATTCCCACTGTTCCTATCTACTATCTAGCGAAACCACAGCCAAGGGAACGGGATTGGAAAAATCAGCGTAGAAACGTAGAATGGGCCTAACATGAGTTTTCTAAAAGTAATTCGTTCTTGATTAATGAAAACATTCTTGGCAAATGCTTTCGCAGTATTTCGTCTTGCAACGGTCCAAGAATTTGTGTAGAGAAACTAACAGGCCATAGGCATCTATGCTTATCCAATTATGCAGTATCTTTATCAAAACTTAAATGGTTAACATTCTGATGATTGTAGAAGAAAACTGACATATCTGGGTAATCAGGAGTTGTAAAATGATAAATGTTGTTCATTTTTTATAATTCTAAACATATTGCCATTAATACTATATGCCTAACAGTCGTTGGTCTTTTTTCTTTTTATTGTGTATCTTATAGATGCTGAAAAACTTATAACAGTTTATTAGAAATCTATTAATACCTAATCTGTCTTTGAATGAGATATTTGATAAGCTCCATCTAAGTACTTGCTGTCATCTTTTAAGTCTAGGTTAGTTTTTACAGTTATCCAAAAGAGACATTAAAGCTTATATCTCTAGTTTCAAATCAGTGTAACATCTATAAGTTTGCATGCCCTACTACACAAATTGTCCACCTTAAGGAATATTTAACTGATGTTAGACACAAATATGACAAATTTGTAAATTTGGATTTGTTTAAGGTATTTTTCTGTTGGGCTTTTAAAATTAGTTTTTGGAGTTTGGTGCACATAAAGCCAAAAGAAAAGCATTTTATTATAATATTACCACACAAGTTGTGAATCTAAAACTTATATAATATTAAAATATGATTTATTAATTTTGTTTTGATGCCAAGTTTATTCTTATACATTGATAATAAAATACTTTAATTAAGTTTTGAATGTAACTCACTAAAAAGTTGTGACGTGTGCACTTTGACCTGCTCATGACAAGAAAATTAAGAAGTGGAGAAAGTTTGTTTGTTTGTTTGAAATTAAGCACAAAGCTACACAATGAGCTATTTGTGCTTTGCTCACCACAGGTATCAAAACCCAGTTTCTAGCATTGTAAGTCTCCAAACATACTGCTGTGCCACTGGGGGGCAATGGGAAAAAAAACAAGCAAGATTTAGGTGTTTAAACCAAATGGGTCTGTAGTATTAAGAAA